GATACTGTATCTGAAATTCAGATAAAAGTTTTTTTTTACTACACTTTTATTAAAAATCAAAACTCGTTACTTACTTAACTCGTTTAAGATTTAGCTATAACAGCTAACAACCTCAAAAAAAGTTTATCTCAACCTAAGAGCTAAAAATTTTTCTTTAAAAATATTAATCTCTGGACATTTTCTGATGTTAGTGAAGTTCTTGTAGGTTTCATAATATGCCCTGCTTCGGAAAAAGTTTGTTCGAGAAGACAGATCCAGCTGGTATTGACAAATAGAGGGCAGCAAGTTTTTTTAGTTTTGGAAATCTGGTTTCCTGTTTCCAAGAATCTAATGGGTCAGTTTCAAGTTTTTTTGTCGGTTCATGTAAATATAGTTTAATTACTTTGTCCAGATCATAGTTTGGGTTTGGATTTGGATTTGGACTCCACTGACTTTTTTGTAAAAGTTATTTAGTAGCCTAAAAGAAAGTAAAGCATATTTAATACGCACTGTTTTAGTTTTAAAACTTTATATATACCTGCAAAAGGCTTAGATTAAAATTGGGAATAAGTGAACCAGAGGTTCCTGGGGCTTCATCAAAGTTCGTATTTGTATTTGTATCCGTATCAGAATCAGACATCTGTTGTGATTGTAAAGCATGTAAAGCTAGCGTGCATTATCTTTTAATACATGTATTATTTTCTGAATTGCGGTTTGCTCATTTTCGTTTTCACTAGTGAATAACGATTTGACACATGAAAGTATACCAAAGTGTCTGACAGATACTTTGGTATCTGAAGTACTAGGTATCGGCGAGTATCGGAAAATAGTCAATATCGGCCGATACCCGATACTGAGTATCGGTATCGGCACAGCCCTATTTTACAGTTTAACGAAAGTTCCACATGTTGGTGGATAACACTTGGCTGCCACGAACCCGCGACTAGGCAGCTTCGTAACAGATAAGTCGCATTCAGCAGTAGGCTACTTTATAGTAACACATTTCATAGTAGGTAACTCTTTTAGTGGCAAAAACTACCCAAGACACTGCCCATTAGCCCATCTGCTGTAAACCTAAGACTTTTTATAGGTTCTTTAGTATTGGAAGAGGTGGAATCCATATTTTGGGCCATATTTATTTAATTAAAACTAATCCCAGCTACTTAAATATCAAATTACCTAATAAAACTAAAGCAATAATTCAAAACAATTCAAACATAACCTAAAATAAAAGATCTCGCCGGCCGGCTCCGGTTTCCGGTTGTCAAATACCCGCACATGCCCATTTAAGCAATTTTTAAACGTTATCAGAGGCGTGGCTAACGTCATTCAAGGCCTGACTGTTTTGACAGTTCTACTGTAAGAGTCTCAATTTATTTTTCTTTGGTTCAGTGAAAAATAAATAGCCTTACTGGCGTACAGTAGTAAACTTATATCTCTCGGGCGCCACCTCTGTTCTTTATAGTGGAAGAGGTCCACGTTTCGCCAATACGGGTAGCTTTTATACAGTGGAGATACCAGGGAGTGATGAAATGAAAAGAAATAAAACACACAGTTAACTATAACATAACATTAAGGCTTTATTTAATTATTTAACTATATGCTAAATACCCCAGGAAGTTTCACGACTTTAAATTGTAATGAAAGTGAAAGAAAATTTATAATTAAAGACTCGTAGAATAAAATTTACAACAACAATCGAGCACCTCTAGAGTTTTGACCGTATAATCTCGATATGCAACTCACTGTCCGATTTAATCACGCGAATTCAAAGCGCGTTTTTGACATGACGCTCTAGTAAATAAAACGACGCGAGTTTCTAACCGGCGTCCTAGTAAACACGGACATGTACGTACCGGAGCGACATACTCTTTTATAAACCGACTTTCTAAACGTCGGCGACGTCGTTACAGACGTCCCGGGATAAACAAACGCGAGCCCTGGATCGTTCGCAGTAGAACGAAACGGCGTCCTGTGGGATAATTACGCACCCGAGCCCTGAATCGTGCGCAGTAGAACGAGACGGCGTCCTGTGGGATAGATAGGCACGCGAGCCCTGGATCGTTCGCAGTAGAACGAAACGGCGTCCTGTGGGATAGATACGCACGCGAGTCCTGGATCGTTCCGCAGTAGGACGAAACGGAGTCCTGTGGGATAGGTACGCACGCGAGCCCTGGATCGTTCGCAGTAGAACGAAACGGCGTCTCGGTTAGTCGCCTGGATAAGCACAGTCCACACCGCCCGGTCAGGACCACCTCGGGATGTCGGCGAGATCCCACGGCGCTCCTGATGAGAATACGGGAACTACAGAACCAGTCGCGGGATAGACGAGATCCTGCCTTAGTTCCAAGAATATTCGCGCCCGTATATTTGTTGTACTACCTTAACCGCTATCTGTCTCCCTTTTAACCAAAAGAAATCGGTCTTCGCGTCCACGGGATCCGGACAAAATGCCTCAACCTTGCACGTATTTTTACTTCTATAGTAGGACAGTTGACACCTTGAGCGGATACAAGTCTGGTTAAATTTTACGTACGCGCGTTTCGGACCAAGATGCCTCTACCTTGCACGTATTTTTACTTCTATAGTAGGACAGTAGACACCTGGAGCGAATTTAACTATCTCTATCTCCCTTATTCTATAACGCGTTAAGGCAGTAAAACAAACCGTATTAACAATAAAAAGAAAACGACCTACTCTCGATCACTTTGGCGGCTGGACTTACCTTCTACAGAGCGGCAACGGCGGCTGGCAGCAGGGTACTTGGCAGGGCACTCCGGACTCGAACTTCACTGTTCACGTGCGACCACACAACTAACTACCTGGCGCTCTCGCTGCCAGGGTATACTCAAACGACCCTCCCCTCCACTCGACCGGTACTGGTAGGGCCAGCTTCTCGGCTGCCGTACCGAACTATAGCGAGTAACGCCGATCAAAACTCTATTACAATATGGTCATCAAATATCTAACATACTTAAGTCAACAGTAAGAACACTAATGAAGTTCATTACCATAATGAGTTAACAATAAAATACATTGCCTAACCTTGTTTACAGAAAAGGTCCCTATTATTTAAGTACAGTATACGGGGTGTCCCAGAAATGAGTCCCAAAATTTATGAACTTCATTACACTCCCCCTACTTCGGTTAAAAATATATGAACATATATTTTTGTCAGCTATGCTGAAATGAAACTTCCTGTTAAAACAGCTTTTGTTTGACCAAAACTTAAGCTAACGCCCAGTATATCTCTTAAAGTCTAATAAAACAACAACAAATTCGAATGTTTATTGAGCCAAACTTAATCTAATAAAACAAAACAAATTCGAATATTGTTTGTCCAAAACTTAAGCTAACGCCCAGTATATCTCTTAAAGTCTAATAAAAACAACAACAAATTCGAATGTTTATTGGGCCAAACTTAACCTAATAAAACAACAATAAATTCGGATATTTACTGGGCAAGATTTCATCTAACAAAATAACAACAAATTCGAATGGTTACGGGGCAAACTTAATCTAAAACCTTGATATATCTGGGACCTGGTATCACTTTGATTATGCTTACAACTAAAAGAAAACAACCATAAACTCGAATGTTTATTTGTCAAGTCTTAATCTAAACTTTTGTATCGTAATCATGATTAAGTTACTAAAATAAAACGACCGCAAAATCAAATGTTTATTTTCAAAATGCAAAACTTAACTAAATTACGCAATATCTTCGGTCTTCTTCAACTTGAAGATCTTCCTTCGGCGGTGTCTAGAGCTTCGACGTGTCGAGCTTGCTCCAACGGTGTTTGCGGCTTCGGTGAGTCCCTCGTTGTCCAGCGGTGTTGAAAGCTTCGGTGGGTCCCTCGTTGTCCAGCGGTGTTGAAAGCTTCGGTGAGTCCCTCGTTGTCCAGCGGTGTTGAAAGCTTCGGTGAGTCCCTCGTTGTCCAGCGGTGTTGAAAGCTTCGGTGAGTCTCTCGTTGTCCAGCGGCGTTGAAGGCTTCGGTGAGTCCCTCGTGGTCCAGCGGAGTTGCGAACTTCGGTGAGTCCCTCATGGTCCAACGATGTTGAATGGTCCTGCAAATGGCTCAGTCATGGAGACCCGTACACCTATAGCACAACTGAATTAGTTCAACTCTTCAGGCACGCAGAACAATTGGTCGCAATATAATTTCATATTTAAAAAAAAACGACCAGATGAGAGATACTACAAAATTCCCTTAAACAACAAGTAAAGCTTCTCAACCCTCTTTCTGTTTCCCTTTTTAATTTTAATCCCTTCTTCTTTTTTTTAAAGAAAAGCAAAAAAAAAAAACCCTTAGAGAAAGTAAACAAGAAATGAAAACTTAGAATCTGATGACATGTAGACTGAGGACATTGTGACGACAGACTCCTGTTGCTGGACGTCCGGCGTTGGTTTTCAGACGGGCCAGGACATCGGGCTTTTCTGCGTGTCACTTCTCCACTTCTTCCCTGGCAAGTTGTTGCTGTCTCCGCCTAGACTGGCTTCCAGACACATGGGAATGTGGGGGAGTTGGTTAGCGTCAGTGTGGCCTGCAGATAGTTCCTGGCAGTGACTCATGAGTCATGAGTCGTTCTAGTCTGAAAAATTCAAAGTAAAATCAGTTCTACAACTTCATCAGTCGGGAAGGGGTTTTTTTTTTAGATACTGTTTAGATGACTGTTGATCCTCCTCTTAACCAACATCCATCAGCCCAGGATTCAGGTGATTTGAACAGGATGGTATACATCTACATTTGCAATCCTGTGATCGCATGCCGGAGTGTTCCACATCTGGAACAGAACAAAAGAAATCTTCTTTGACATACACCACGGTAGGTGGGGTTTCCACATCGCCAACAAACATTCTTCTCCACTGGAACTCGATCAGAGTTTTTTAAGCAATACATCTTTGGAGTCAGAAAACTTGTTAGTTTGACGTCTGCGGAACTCTTCTACAGGACTCTGTAGACTCGTTTTTATCGGAAGGCGACTGCCTTTAGAAACGGAGGCTTGACATTGGCCTTTCCTCAACTTCTCGGTGTTTGTTCAACATTTTTCTTCGGGTTTACTTGTAAACCTTCGGCGGAGCTTCGGATCTTTAAACTTGACATGACATTACAAGACGAAACCACCGATTCTGCACTCACCAACTTAGCATTCAATCGGATCTGTCGGGTTCGTAAATCAATCTGGAAGTCATGTTTGCCCAGAATATCCATACCAATAATCATATCCGAAACTAAGTCTTTTAGACTGTGGAAAACCTCATTCAGAGACTGCTCTCCTACTTGGATTTTCATCCTAAATGCTGTGCTAATGGACTCCGTGGCACCATTAGCAAGTCTCGCTCCTTTTACCGTGGGTTTGACAGGAATTGCCTTGGAAGTTTGGCACTGTTCTGTCAATTTCTTTCCAATATAGGAATGGGCAGCTCCAGTATCCAGGAGTGCCAAATAGTCGGTGTTCCGGTAGCGAATCTTCACAACAGGACGAATTTCTTGACGTATGATTTGTGGTAATTCTTCAACAATCTCCGTTGGTGAATAATGTTGTTCCTGGGATATTTCTGTGCGGTTTGGTTCCCGCTTTCTTGGGCTCACACATGGACAATTCCTAGAAAGAACACCTGTCTTTTTGCATCGGGAACAAAAGATTTTGGGCTCGGATGTGCACTGTCTGCGGAAGTGTCCTGTCTGTCCACATCTCCAACAGATTGCTTCTGAAGTCTGTTTTGCAGAGTTCGGCGCTCTATACGGATATCTTGAAACACGGGGAGTAACAGACACATGTCTCTGTTTACTCTGAGACGGCGATTGGCTCTGGATAACCATCAGGTTGCTCCTGGCTCCAGCATGCTCATTTTCCAGCCTGTCTCGCCGAGGCGTATTATTCGGTCGGGCTTCGACATCGGACGGTGCATAAGTACGGGACGATCGCTGCAGTTCCTGATTAAGCAGTTCAAACTCCTTGGTTATTCTTGAGAACGATGAAATATCGTGAAAATCTCCTCTTCGGACATACTGACGAAATTCAGGTAACAAATTTCTGTACAACCACTGCAATTCTTGATTCAGAGAGATGCTGCCATGTCTGCGGATCAACGTTTGAAGATCAGTGATGTACGCCGTGACAGACTCGTTATGTCTTTGCACTCGACGACTTATCTTCGCCTCTAGGTCCACCTCATAATTTACTGGATAATAAAAAATTTTAAATTCTCCAGTAAATTCTTCCCAGGTCCTGTAATTTACTCGGTTATTGCGGTACCAGAGCGCAGCTTCTCCTTGCAAAACTTCTGGCAAATGTGGCAATAAACGATCCGGATGTATATTCTGTGCTATACAAATTTCTTCCAGTCTCTCTAAGAATGTTACAGGGTCCGAGCGACCATTAAATGTCACCCCCCATTTGTAAACTTGTATAGGATTAGTATTAAAACTATTTGACATACCTGGATTTATCGGCAGAGGGACAGGCTGTGAAGTAGAAGTATAGACCACCGGAGAAGGCACTACACGTCCAGCAATGTATCCACTCGAGGTTGCTGTCACTGTAGTTGTCACTGTCGTAGTGGTCAGGGTGGCTGTAGAGCTCACTGTCGGTACAACAGCACTATTTCCAGGAAATCCAAAAGGCTTTGAGACCGGCTGAGGACTCACCTGTCCTTCTCTAATGAATCTCACTATCCTTCTTCGCATCTCCTCAACAGTCCCGGTACAATCCAATCCGAAAAAAATCCGAAAAAAATCTTCCTCAGTTTCCATATCGCTCTAGATTTCACTAGTCTTTAACTCAGAAGCACTGAGACTTTACTGTCTCTAGAGGTACTTATGCTCGACGGTTGTTACTTTCTTTTCACCTCCTCTCACACTGTTTCCATAGCTTTCTCGCTTTTACTAGCTTTACCCGGTTTTCCTGGTACTTTTGACGGTTCAATCTTCAAAACAATCAAGTCCCTATGCTTGGGCGCCATTTTTGTAAGAGTCTCAATTTATTTTTCTTTGGTTCAGTGAAAAATAAATAGCCTTACTGGCGTACAGTAGTAAATTTAAATCTCTCGGGCGCCACCTCTGTTATTTATAGTGGAAGAGGTCCACGTTTCGCCAATACGGGTAGCTTTTATACAGTGGAGAAACCAGGGAGTGATGAAATGAAAAGAAATAAAACACACAGTTAACCATAACATAACATTAAGGCTTTATTTAATTAATTAACTATATGCTAAATACCCCAGGAAGTTTCACGACTTTACATTGTAATGAAAGTGAAAGAAAATTTATAATTAATGACTCGTAAAATAAAATTTACAACAATCGAGCACCTCTAGAGTTTTGACCGTATAATCTCGATATGCAACTCACTGTCCGATTTTATCACGCGAATTCAAAGCGCGGTTTTGACATGACGTCCTAGTAAATAAAACGACGCGAGTTTCTAACCGGCGTCTAACTTAACGGCGTCCTAGTAAAGCACAGACAGGTACGTACCGGGCGATATACTCTTTTTATAACCCGACTTTCTAAACGTCGGCGACGTCGTTACAGACGTCCCGGGATAAACAAACGCGAGCCCTGGATCGTTCGCCGTAGAACGAAACGGCGTCCTGTGGGATAATTACGCACCCGAGCCCTGAATCGTGCGCAGTAGAACGAGACGGCGTCCTGTGGGATAGATAGGCACGCGAGCCCTGGATCGTTCGCAGTAGAACGAAACGGCGTCCTGTGGGATAGATACGCACGCGAGTCCTGGATCGTTCGCAGTAGAACGAAACGGCGTCTCGGTTAGTCGCCTGGATAAGCACAGTCCACACCGCCCGGTCAGGACCACCTCGGGATGTCGGCGAGATCCCACGGCGCTCCTGATGAGAATACGGGAACTACAGAACCAGTCTCGGGATGGACGAGATCCTGCCTTAGCTCCAAGGATATTCGCGCCCGTATATTTGTTGTACTACCTTAACCGCTATCTGTCTCCCTTTTAACCAAAAGAAATCGGTCTTCGCGTCCACGGGATCCGGACAAAATGCCTCAACCTTGCATGTATTTTTACTTCTATAGTAGGACAGTTGACACCTTGAGCGGATACAAGTCTGGTTAAATTTTACGTACGCGCGTTTCGGAACAAGATGCCTCTACCTTGCACGTATTTTTACTTCTACAGTAGGACACGAGACACCTGGAGCGAATTTAACTATCTCTATCTCCCTTATTCTATAACGCGTTAAGGCAGTAAAACAAACCGTATTAACAATAAAAAGAAAACGACCTACTCTCGATCACTTTGGCGGCTGGACTTACCTTCTTCAGAGCGGCAACGGCGGCTGGCAGCAGGGTACTTGGCAGGGCACTCCGGGCTCGAACTTCACTGTTCACGTGCGATCACACCACTGACTACCTGGCGCTCTCGCTGCCAGGGTATACTCAAACGACCCTCCCTCCCACTCGACCGGTACTGGTAGGGCCAGCTTCTCGGCTGCCGTACCGAACTATAGCGAGTAACGCCGATCAAAACTCTATTACAATATGGTCATTAAATATCTAACGCCTTTAATTCAACAGTAAGAACATTAATGAAGTTCATTACCATAATGAGTTAACAATAAAATACATTGCCTAACCTTGTTTACAGAAAAGGTCCCTATTATTTAAGTACAGTATACGGGGTGTCCCAGAAATGAGCCCCAAAATTTATGAACTTCATTACACTACCGAAGTGGTCCAGAATTAGTAGTCGTAAACAAACCAATTATTTTCATTAGTTTCACAACAAATCTGTGTTTTTTATTTCTATGCTAATAAAATTATACTAAATAATTTTGAGTGAATAGTGAACTATCTAGATCCGATTCATAACATCGTACCCGCGAAAAAATACATACTTTCGGTAAAAATTATAGCAAGACCGGCGATGCCGGCTGTGTATCCGGGCTAGGAAGAAATTGGGGAATTTATATAAAAACATAATTAATAGTGTTAGTGTATAGTGTTAAACCAACGTAAGTGACGTGTATTTTTATGTAAAACAGTTTTCGTTTCTTTATTTTTACTTTGTGAAATAAAAAATTCCGCGACATTGTTCTGTGCCTGTGCCTTGAAGCAGCAATTATAATAAGTCCTCAGGATCTGTCTACATTCTCTTTCCCAACAATATTAACTGTAACTAGGTCACGTCCAAAACCTACAGAACATGCTGTGCCTACAATTTTTCCACATCAACCCTCTAATGGAGCCTCTGTGCATGTTCCCATAAAGAGAAAACGTCCCGATGAAAACAAGATTTGGAAATTCAGGATGAAATAAATATTGAAAAGTATTATTATTATTATGAAATATATATTATTATTATGAAATGGCAATATATTTTAAAGAAATTAAATGAATTTGTACTTTATTTCAGTATTTTATATAAAAAATGAAATCTTTATCTTTTTATTTACGATTTTTACTTGATGAACATCGAACTACAAATTATTTAATGTTAATAGTTAATTCTATCTGATATCCACATTTTTTAAATATGTTAGGAAAATTTTTACAATTATTTTTAATTAAACTTTAAAATGTATTCTGCCGTTATCATATACAATACATTTTCTTAACTTGTCGATAAACATATAGTTTTCAAATTTTTTAATATTTGGAAACTTTTTATCACAGGTATATTATTACTAGTTGCTAAATACTCGCTAACGCAATTTTAGGACACGGTTTTTATTATCTAGATTTTATTTTGTTCATCTTATGCTGTAGTTTATTTCATATTAATATTCGTGCTTTAGATCTAAATTTTAATGCTATTCAATTACTTTAACGCGATAAAAAGTTAATGTTATTTTTTAATACCTTTCTGTATAATATTTTTCATATTTATATCTGGCAAAACTATCAATAAATACTATTATTTATGCAAAAACTATATGCAGTACCACATATGGCACAATACAAAAACCCGACTAGTGCGGTGACGTCACAAATCGATGTCTCTGGCCTGTATGTCATGTTGGTTATGTCAGAGGTTATTTAGAAAGAGCGCTTGGTGTAATTGAACCGCAAATTACGTCAGGCGGTAACGTTATTAGCGGGTGTTGTGTTAAAAATTGACTCGCGCATATCGTAACCATGATAAGGTACGCGTAAATACTGGATGACGCTATTCGGTTTTCCGATATCTCTCTAATAACTGTGCCGGTCAGGCGCTGTGCCTGTGCACAATTTTAGAGGCCATAAGTGGGTGTGCTATGTGCGCAAACTAGTCACCTAATTAGTGCCCGATTCCGAAAATTGGAACCACGAAAAACAATAAAGAAAAAACAAAGATTATAATCTGTATAATCTGTGGCAGCAGTTACATATCTGCCACTATAAATGCTAGTTGGGTTTTTTGAGGTTAGAAAAAAAATGAGACATACTAGCTCAATTCTGATGGGGGTTTTGTTTTAGGTTATAGTATTATACATAAGAAAAACTTTTTTTGATTTTTTCCTACTACATTTTGCTGAATTTTTACGGATTTGCACCAAGTTTTAGAGATTAGAAAAAAAATGAGATGTGATAGCGGATTCGTGCTCAGCGTCGAAAAATACTATATGGTATGATGGTCTGATAAAAAGTATACCTCACTTTTCTTTTTTGTGTGACTGTGTTATTGCCGTGCTAGTGAGTCTGTTGTCTTTCAAGTGAATCCCCGATTCCGTTATGTAGCCCGAAAGATGAACAAAAGAAATTTATCTCAAGTATATTGAAGAGTACCTTAAAATCCCCCAGTCCTTAGCTTATTCCATCGATATATTACATAGTGATCAAAAGATATCACCATCTTTTTAATAGACATTCGATAACACCTATCTGTAATGGATACATATAAAGTACTACAGAATCAGTTAAATTTTATATAAAAAAACATATTTCTGTGTTCGTAGTTGTTCTGAAAATTAGTCGTTTTATTTTATGTGGTTTTAGTCTCATCTTTATCTACAATAAATTAATAATATTGTTACGTTTTTCGTCGGTTCCGTGTGGATAGAAAGTCACAATTTATTTAAACACTATTTATTTAACACTAATGAACAAAAATAATAACGATAAAAGACTTATAGAACTATTTACAAACGATTTATAACTAAGAATTTATTTTGAATTTTAGCGCGTCAACTGTATATTTATAACTGCCCCCTGTAGGCCACGGCCGCCGGCTTTTTATACCGGCAGGTAAAGAACTCTAGAATTGTCCATAGATCGTTAGGTGCGTAGAAGGTTTTCGAATGTTCTCGTATGTACTCGTCCATTCCAGTGGGACTCGATTCTTCTCGAACGAATGAATCATTGCGGTGTCTATGCGATGTTAAGGTCATCCGAGGGCGGGCCATATTGTGAGGTTAGGTCGAGTCCACACCGGCCCGCAACACTGCCCCCTTCTTAGGGCACATGCTCGTCCCGAGATTATACGGTGAATGAAGGTATTTGCAAAGCTGGCCCCTGGTACATTGCGAAGTCTGGTAGAAATAGCAGTCTACAGTTTTCTCTCCCGATCTCAGCTTTGGGTTGTAGCAGCAAACGAGGATCTCGATTCCCGTAAATCTGAACAAGACTTCAATCATGTTCCGGATTGTACGCCAACTCAAACCATCGAGTCCACACGCCAGCTTCGGAATGGCTAATCGTGCAATGTTGTTGTTTAGCAGGGCTTCTCTCAGTTCAATCAGGGTCTTCCATAGATTGAGATAAGTCGGCTTACTCGGGGACCATTCCTTGGTGACCAGGTAGAAGATGTGCCTTGCTTGACCATGTGCATTGTCGGTTAGCCTCAAGACGCTTCCAACCTCTGGATCCTGTCGGCGTAGTTCTCCGACACGCCCAAACTTCTCATTGAACGTCGCAGCGATTCCTCTGGACATCCGCAAATCTCGAGCCACACAATGAGCGAGCGAATAATCAGGAGGCACGGAAAAGAGGTCTCGTTGATCTTCTTTGGTTACACCATAGCGAGCCTTCTCACTGCTGTTGTATCGGGCCATGAAATCGTCAAAGGACATCTCCGAATCAGGGGGATCAAAGCTGCAGGTTCTCACGGTCCCAGCACGATCTTCTATTTCGCCTTGGTAGGGGCTCAAACGGTTGAAATGGACTA